CCCCCCCCCCCCCCCCCCCCCCCCCCCCCCCCCCCCCCCCCCCCCCCCCCCCCCCCCCCCCCCCCGCCCCCCCCCCCCCGACAGACGGCATTGGGCCATAGCCCAATGTGCTTTGAGCCTTGGTCCAATAGGATTTTAAACTTTGTGATTTTCCCAGCTGAAAATTTGAAAAAAGGTTTTTTAATCTGGTCTTTTCTCGAATTATCATAGTGTGATCCAGTCATGTTTTTCGAACTAATGAAGTTGACCCAGTGATCAAAAAATCTTAATTATACCATTGTTCAGAAGAGAGCATATGCATACCTGTTTGAATATATCGTTTTAAATGTTGTAATTCAAAACTATCTGCGACAAATGAATTTGATTTAGAATAGAGTAAATAATTCATTGTACATTGGTATTGAAATTCTTTTAATTCTTTTTCTGTTCGTGCTACGACACCAATACCAAATTCGTATTCATGAACTGTTTGCTGTAGATCAATTATTGTAGATGTAAGAAATGTTCTGATAGGCGATTGTAATGGAATAATTGTTGAACATTGTTGTTGTTCAGCTTGTACATTATTATTTTTATTTTGAATAAGATCCATGTTTAATTTTAAAGAATGACTTAAATAAAATAAGTTTATTTTTATAATCAACTAATGGTATTGATTTATTCGATAGATTAATAAATATCGAATTGTACAAAGAAAGAATCTGAAAAAAATAACAGCTAAAATTTAGCAGTAAAATGATCTCTCCTCTATTCTCTTCAACTTGTTTTTGTCAATAAAAACAACTGTAATTTCAAACTGCGTCATATCATCCAGTTTATCTAGTGTGACAAACTATGCAGAATAACAAATCTTCCATGTCATTGATTCTTTTTTCAATGCTCTTGCCAAATATTACAAAATATTAAATTGACATACAAAGGATCTTTGAATAATCCGAAAACTTCACTTAAGTCATGTTTCCAGTGCAATTCAAGTTCACATCTAACTTTTTTCCAAATCACATTAGGAGTTCAGATCATGTCTTTATGCCAACAATCAGTCATCTATCCATTACACCAATTATCTCTGGACTGAAAACCGTCACATCTCTTGAAGTTGTACTGACTTTTTGAACATACTGCGAACGACTGTTACACTCGCAAATCGTAAAATGTGAGGCTAATCTCGCATCGCAAAAATACTATTTCTTTTCGTCAATAAAAATATAAAAAAATATCTGACCGCAATATTCAATACTATTTTTTCCGAGATATTATTCATCATCATCATCACCATTAATCTATTGAAATTCAATTGATATCATCTTTTTCTTCATTTGTTTTATGCGATGATAGCGGCGATGAATCTGAGACGTGAAATGACTGTGTGGATAGTGGAATTTTGCTTTTAGGTAGTGTAATCAGCAGTTGTTATTATTGATGGTAGTGAAATGCTTGGGAAATTAGCATCACTGATGGTGATGCGATGGGCATGGAGGCGTAACTCTTGGTGGTGGTATGAGACTAAGGCTGTCAGGTGTGAGAGTTACAAGTGGGTAAGCTGATGGATCAGAAGCAAATTCAAATGTCTAATCAGGAATGAAATTTGTTTTACTGGATCGATTTTTTGTCGGACATTTAAGTGACTGTTCAGCTATTTTAGTTAAAGTCATATTTGCGATATGATCGATAAACCAATTAAGACAAATATTTGAATTACAATTACAAATATCTTGAACAGCTTCTGGGATTTTGACAAACGCCTAAAGAATCAGGTTTTTCTAGGAATGCGGAATTAACATGAACAAATTCACTTACTTTCACAATTTGTTCACTAGTTGCTCGATTCGCCTGTAATCTCTCAATTACTTCACATCGAACTTTATGAAGAAAATTCCTGAATACGTAGAAAATCTGTTTCTCTTGATGGTATTGATCGGTACGGTAGTTGATCTATGGCAATGCAAGGATTATAATATTTTAAATCAGTTGATTCAGTCGATTCGATCCTATAATACCCGTCCGATGTTTCATAACAACTCTTATCCAATATTGGTATTTCTTTCTGTTGAATATCGGAGTATTTTAAATATTCTGGATATTCGAGTGCAAGTACAACACGGGCATGAATACGCTCTTTCAAACATCGATAGTGATGAGATGAGTAATGAAATGCTGAGTTATGGGTCATAAACATATTTGATGGACTGAATTAGAATTGATAGGAACCAACAGAGAATGATACAGAGGCCATTTGTAATGGGGCAAATATTGATTGATCAATCAGTTTTAAAATCTTCATTTTGCCTACTTTATGATTTTGCTAGTTTAAAAAACACAAAAGGAACCTGAATTTTTTAAGTCTAATAAATGTACAGTCAAAATCACTTTCGCGCTCAATTTGTTTTTGACATAGTAGACTGTACTTTAGCGCTGAAGGTGAAACAACTGACACTCTGTTGAGTAGTCAAACTCGCGAACGGCATTAAACCTCATTAGTAAGTCTCACTTCAGAATACTCTCGGCAAGGATTTTAAAGTCAGAATGAAAAGCAGTCACCTTGTGCAAATGAAACATACACAGTTTTCTCAAAAACTGTATCGAACAAAGCTAACGAAGGAACCTATCCAACTGTCGGACGCCGTTTGACTCCATATTTTGGCTATAAGTAGGACTCAGTGGGACTAAGAAAATCCTAAAAGGGTTCGGGCCCATGACTCTTGAAGACCCCGTTTTCT